GTGGGGGAGGGGCGTCCTCGTATCTGCATTTTAGAAACATCACAGAGATTCCCGCGTGGCCAGCGCGTGAGGCGGACGAGGCTGGAGGCGGGGACCCGCAAGCCGGCTGTGGCAGGGTCCTGGGAGGACTTGCTGCACTGGCTTCCAGGAGTCGGGCCTGGGTTCTCCCAGGCACAGAGGGGACGGAGACTCTGCCCCTTCCCTGGGGACTCGCAGCCCTGTCCCCTGCTCTTCCTCTCCACAGCCTTCGTGGTGCGAGTGATGTCTGGGGACAGGTGACAGCCATGTCTGGGCCAATCCATTGGTTTAGAGCCGTTTCAGAGGCTGTGTGTCCAGGATGTAGGGAACAAATGGGCCAGCCCAGCCCTGGGTCCCTTCTGGTGCCACCAGGTCCTCAGACAGACGTCCCCCTGGCCCAGAGTCCTCACCTTCCCACCTCCTCTGCTGGATTTGAACTTGGACCCGGCTTCAGCCATCAGCCATCCTGTACTCTCCTCGTGGATGACCTGTGTCCCGGGCTGTGGCAGGATGGCTGATCCTGCTGCACCCCAAGCGGGACTTCTCCTGGGCTTGGTCCCTCGTCCTCCTCCCCCACCTGTGTTTTCAGCTTCTCTGTTTGGAATCAAGGGTGGGTGGGCTCCTGTGAGATGGCCGGAAGCGGGCAGGCATTCTGTGATCATGAGGAAGCCATTCAGCCTCTCGGAGCCTCAGTCTCCTCACCTCTAAAACGGGACACTATCCCACAGGGTCAGGAAAGTGATCAATGAGATAATAATTACAGAAATCCTTGGAAAACTGCCAAGTGTGAATCCCATGTTCTTTTTTTTTCTTTCAACAAATATTTATTTGGCTTCTAAAGAGGTGCCGGTCGCTGTCCTAGATTCTCAGGACAAAGCAGTGGTTAAACCTGTGAAGTCAGGGGCTGCTCAATCTGAGACGGTCGAGCCCGGCCTCCCTGGGTCTCTCGCTAATGCCTCTGCGGACCCCGGGCAGAACTCGTGGATTCCTATTGGAAAGCTCCCTGAAGGCCGAGCAGGGATTCCCCAAGCCCAGAGTGAGGGACAAGGCTGGGGACAGGCTGGGGACAGGCTGAGGAGTGAGGTGACAGAGGCCGGAGGGGACTGGGCCTGGGCAGGCCTCCTGGGAGGGAGCCTGGGAGGCCTTCGGGGAGGCCAGGGCGGTGCATCTCAGGGACGCAGCTGGGAGTGTGCGTGGGCTGCGGCTGGGCTGCCTCCGTGGGCGCGTGAGGCACAGGGTGCGTCTTGGCGACAGGCCGCCGTTCAGGGCGCCTGCCTCACCGCGTGGCGCGAGGCCCGAGTGGCCAGCACCTGGGAGAGCAGGAGGAGCCACCCCTGTCCCCGTCCCCTCCACGGCTCCGCTGACCCACGGAACTCGCGTCCCAGAGGGAGAGGCAGATGGACAGACAGACACCACGCTCCAGCGTGACACCCGCAGGGGGAGGCGGGAGGGGAAGTGCCAGGCCGGCCGCGGCCGTGGCTCCGTGGTGCAGCGCTCGCCGGGCCTGTGGGAGGCCCTGGCTTCCCTGCCCAGCACGGGGGACTGCAGCCTGGGACGCCAAGGACAGGGCGTCGCTGTGAGCCGTCCCCGACCCTGGGATAAGAGCACATCCCTGCCTCCGCTCACGAGGTGTCCCTGCGTCCTCCCCAGGACTCCAGGGCACTGAGCTGGGGCAGGCCGCCAGGCCCGGGGAAGAGCTTGTCCTTTACCTTTGCGCCCGGCGCCTTGCTTGCCTCAGCCCCTCAGACCTGCAGGGTGCCCTGCTGAAGATGGCTCCAGGGGGCAAGAGGTGAAGGGAATCCCCTCCCACGGCCTCAGCCTGGAGCGTCCTATCCAGCTCAGGGCCTTTGCACTTACCGAGCTCCATCTGGAATGCTCTCCCCTAGAAACCTACGTGGCTCCCTCCTTCCCTTACCCCAGCCTCCCCAGAGAGGCCCCCGGGGTGTCGAGGGCAGCCCCGCCCCTTCCTCTCCTAACCACCCCCAGGGGTCCTCTGTCATTCGATCAGTTGCCATCTCTGCTAGGATGTCACCATGTACCCCGTGCCTAGAGCCTGCCTGGCCCGGAGCAGATTCAGTGAATATCGTTTCTGGCTCGGAAACACCAGGGGGAGGGAGAGGTTCCGCGAAGCCCTGAGGCGGGCCCAGGTGTGACTGTCCTGCCCACCGTTTCTCAAGGTTAATTGTCACCTTGTTTCTCAAGGTTAATTGACACAAACCCCAGGGTTGGGGAAATGACCGCTCAGCACCCTCCCCTGGTCGCCCCTCCTCCGTCCCCAGCCCCTCCCCTGCCGCTCCGCCCTCCGCTCTCCCGGCACGCCCCGCGGGTCCCCGAGCTGCCGCCATCCGCTCCCCACCCCACGCCCGCACCTGTGGTTCCCTGGTGGCTTGGCAGCCGACGGCGCCCTCCCTCCGCCCTGGCGGGCCTCCTGTGGCCGCCATCTGTGCCCGCGGCAGGCCGGGCTGCACCCCAGGTGTGGCCTTCCCTGCGCCTGCCGTGGGAGGGGACGTCTGGTCTCGGGCCGTCAGCACGTGGACCGATGGTGCTCGGCTCTCACCAGGGCCTTCGCAGGGGAGAAGCAGAAGGGCCGCCCCACGGCCAAGGTGAGCCATGTGGCCGCCACGTGGGCCTGGAACTGTGGCCAACAGGATCAGGAGCTCTTGTCACGGTCCCCCCAGGAAAGTCCCCAGCTGAGGCAGGAGGAAGAAAGCCCACGATGTCCATCTGCAGCACTTCCTCCCACCTCTTCTGCGAGTGGAGGGTCTGTACCGTGGGGTGCTTATCACGGGCCCCAGGGCTGGGTCTGAAGCCAGCTCTGCCACGTAGAGCTGTGCCATCTGGGCAGTTACTTGACCTCTCTGTTTTCCTACCTCACGTGGGACTCATGCCCGTCGTTTTCAATGAGTGGATGTGTGGGAAGCGCTCAGCCCAGCGCCTGGCCACCTGGGGCTTGGACCCTTGAGCCTCATTGCTAGCTCCCGTCTGGAGGACCCCCGTCGTCACTGGGCTCCTCCTTCTGTGGGGGGCTTTGTCGGTCATGCTCCGGGTCTTTGGTCATCCAGGCAGGACGAGGGTCCCTGGGGCCCCTCCTGTAGCCCTGAGCCTTCTGTCCCCATCGTCACTTGCCCTGTGAGTTGTGGTGACACGGCCCTGTCTGTGTCCCCTCTGCCTGCCACCTCCTTCCTGGCCAGGGTCTGCACAGAGCAGGGAGCCGGCGAGCTGAGGGACCGTGGGAAGGAAGAGTCCCCAGGTGGACCCCGCGGGCTCTGGTGTCCCCGCGAGCCTGACCTTGGCCGACGTCAGACCGCGGACGGGGAGCGCAGGCCTATCCCGCTCTGGCCTGGGTCCTGGGGGTCCAGAGCCCTGGGCCATGCGGGTCCAGTCTGACTCCAACTTCCAGATTGATCCTCTGGAGATCGATTCCTGTTTGTCCCCTGGAGCGTTGTGACCATTAAGTTCCAGGCAGGGGTCAGGCCCCGGGCGGGAGCCGCTCAGGTCGCCTGCACAATTGAAATCCCAGCCGACTCGGCCAGTTTGCTCGTTAATGCGATCGGACTGGATTGATCGCTCAGTCAGTGGGGGACAGGAGCCCATCAGAGGAGCCTGGTGCTCAGCCCAAGAACAGGGTCCCTGCTGAGCAGGGGAGTGGGTCAGAGGTCCCACCAGGCTGGACACGGTGTGGAGGCCGCAGTGTCCCCAAGGTGTGGCTACCAGGACAAGAGTCCCATCCCCGTGTGCCCAGGAGCTTGGCAGGTGTTCCCTGGAGCAGCAGTGGGCCAGGGACATCATCTGCTATTTGCTAGGATTTGGGAGTCCTTCCAGGTGGCCACCTGCGGTCACCTTCTCCTCTGTGGGAGGGGCTGGACCTGCCCTTGCCCTCCCTCGGGAGTCGGGGTGCGCACAGCGGGAACTCAGGGTGTTGATGAGGCCACATTGGCCTCCAGGGCCCTCTCCCGGGACTGTGGTGAGGCACGTGCACCAGGAGGCCAGGCACAGGGCTCCTCCTGTGGCTCAGGGACCTGGCTGCAGAGGGTGGCGAGGGATGAAGGGACCCCACGTGCGGGCCGAGGGGCAGCATGGACGGAGCTCTTTCTCTGGGGCGTCTCGTTGACACGCACTGCGGCTGCCTGCAGGGGCCAGCAGGTCCTACCTTTGGGCATAAAATCATCCCAGGTAGACGTGATTTTGGTTTGGGGCCCTCGGGGGCCTGGAGGTGGCCGATGGGGAGATGTGGACGGGGGGGCGGGGTCAGCCCTGGTCCTCTCCCTACTCACCGCCTCTTCTCCTTCCCTCTGCAGGCTACCTGACCGTTAACATTGAGCCTCTGCCCCCCGTGGTGGCTGGGGATGCGGTGACCTTGAAGTGTAATTTCAAGACGGACGGTCGCATGCGCGAGATCGTCTGGTACCGGGTAAGTGGTCACTGCTGTCCTTGCCGTGCCGGGGCTGACCGTAGCCCTTGGAGCCCCCAATACTCTCACGGGTGTCGCTGTGTTCTCCGCTCTGCCCTGGCCTGGAGTGGTCCCGGCCCTCTGCCAGGTCCCCATCTGGTGTGACACCCTCCTCAAAGACCACTTGACCAAACTTGTCCTGTGCTCTCGGAATCGATCTCATTCTGGCCTCCTTTGTGTCCCTAAAAGGTCCCCACTCTGAGGAAGCCCCATTAGTACCCAATTCAAAGTTACTGATAACACAGTGGGTCCTGGTGCCAGGGCACAACTAAGGAACCATTATGGTGGGATCCCAAGAAAGAGGCTTGGGGTAATGTTCTTGGCAAGGGAGAGGGAAGGAGAAGGCTCCCTGTCCTCTTTAAAATCACATTACAGAGATAATCTGCCATCTAATCCCATTACACGCAGGACCAGTCTGGTGTCTGGCACCATGGATTCAGGTCTGAGAAGGGAAGCGGTCAGAGATGAGCAGGGCTCATCAGTAACAGGAAGAAGAGCTCCTGGCCTTGGGCACCGGGGGCCTCTGCAATCTTTGTGGGTCTGGGTGGGGCACCCAGGATGCTCTCCTCTGCCACGAAGGAGCTGGGGCTGGGCTCTGGAGAAGGTACAGAGGCATACGATGCTCCTCTGCATCATGCTCAGGTGTGCACAGCGCGGGTACCTCAGAGAACTCCCCTTCCATCAGCTAGGACGGGTGGGAAGCATGTTTCAGTAAGACCCAGAGAGTAAATGCCTCTCTCCCTGCTGACCACGTGGTCTCTGTCGAAACTTCTCACTCTCCTCTCGTGCTGGGCAAACCGCCTCAGAGAGCGTGTACGTGCGTGGGTCCCAGGGGGACATGGTGCCTGGACACCCGAACTTGAATTTCGTAGGATTTTCACATGTTGTGAAATATTCCTCTTCTCACTTCTTTCTCGACTCTTGTAAAGGGTCAAACCTGTTCTTAGCTCTCAGGCCGGGCAGAAACAGGGTGCTGGCTGATCTGGTTCTTGGACTGTGGTTACGAACCCCCAGTGGAAGACCACACTGTGGTCACATTGGCCACATGGATGCAGAGGGAACCCTGGGCACCTGGCCACTCCTGGCCTCAGCTGAGAACTCTATCCTCCCCTCCACCTCGCTCTCGCTCCAGCCTTGCCCGGGGCCAGCCCAGCCTTTGTTTCTTGCATTTTTCTTCTTGTGCTCATCATTTACGGGTGAGTGCTGGGCCGTTGGCCCGGTCTCTGCTCCATCGCAGCCTCCTCGCCCGCCCTGCTCTGGGCCAGCTCCAGCGCTCTCCATCGGGTCCCCGCAGGAGCCTGGTCTTGGAGGATGAGTGGGCCCGGGAGAGCCAAGGCCTGTGTGGATCACTGAGAGGCGTGTTGACAGGCTGTGGGGACTGCGTGGCTGACACAGGCTGCGAGCATCTCATTAGCACCTGGCAGAGGCACTGGGACAGATTAACTCCAGCTCACTGCCGAGGACCCTGGAACCGTGCCCGCCCCCGCCCCCCTAGAAGGGATGGGGAAGGGGGCGTGGAAAGAAGAAGCGTTCCAGGGGGTGAAGGTGGCAGGGGGTGCCCACTGCCCTCGGTCACCTTGAAGCAGCTGTCTGCACTCTGGGTGGAAATCCAGTGTCACTGCCACACTCGGTGGCAGTTGCCAGACAAGGGACAGCGCCAGGGCCTGGCTGGGTCCCCATGTAGGAAGCCAGGAGGCTCCCTGGGGTGGGGGAGGGGAGGGAGGAGGAAGCAGCCCAGCTCCTGGGCTCAACGGACTTTCCTCTTCCTCTCTGCCCTGAAACTGGTCCCGGGCACCGTCCGTCCGGGCCTCTGAACCCCCGCCTGCGGTGGCCGTCGCTGCTTGAAGAATCCGTTACAGCTCTTGCCGGTGTCGGGTCCTGCAGGCCAGGCTGTGGTCGGCTGCTCTAATTAATTTATTTTATTTCACTTCACATCCTTTGACTGAGGGCCTCCAGAGTGGGGGTATGCAGATGTATGCAAATTACATGCAAATCGCTCGCCAGAGCCAAAAGCCTGGGCCCTTTTAATTCTGTCACTGGTCGAGGTGGTGCCTCAGCTGACGGGTGACTCTCCCTGGGACGGGCCCTGCCGTGACGGAGAGCAGGGGGTAGAGGGCGGAAGGAGATTCCAGGCCACCACTTTCTCTCTCTGCGGCCACTCTGGCGTCCCTCCCTGGTCCCTTCTGTTCCCCAGGATCCAGCTGAAGGCAGAGAGATAAGGGCCGACTGGACAGGGGCTCCAGGAGCCAGGGCCCCTGCCCGGGCCGCAGAGAAGCAGCAAGGAGCTCCTGCCTCCTGCGTCCAGCTGGAGCCTCCTGCGGCCCCTGCTCTGGCCCAGCCTGCCCCTGCCCTGGCCAGCAGAGCTGCCCTCCTGCTGCTGTTTGTTTTCTAGCCACGAGCCGCTCCCCTCCCCCGCCCCGTGAATGAGCCTCAGAGCCCGGTTTGGAAAGAAGTGAATAGACTTACACAGGCCCCGCCAGGGCTGGGCGCCGGTCCCTTCAGAAGGGAAAAGCAGGGCATTGTGAAGGGCCGCGCTGCCTGCTCAGCCCAGGGTGGATGGAACGGCCCCAAACCTGTGTGAAGGCCAAAGACGTCGTCTGAGCAATAGGAGCATCCAGAACTTTCCAAAGACGGAATGAAGGATTGGACTCGCAGCAGGAAACTGGGAGGACGGTAAAGCTGTGTGACCTGCAGGGTCACCCCCTGAGTTCTCAAGACCTTTGGCAGAACCCCAGAGGGAAGGAGAGCGGGAAGGAGCGAGGGTCTGAGTCTTGGACACCTTGCCCATGGTCTGGCCAACTGGGAAGATGCTCCGCCAATTTGTAGATGATGCCAGAAATACAGAATAGACTCGAGAAGTACCCACGGTCAGAGCCCCAGGGTCCGCTGTCCAGCGTGGTGGCAACCGATGACATATGGCTGTTTCAATTTAAACTTAATTGAAATTAAACTAAATAAAAAATTCATTTCCTCAGTCCAATTAGCCGAGTTTCGAGTGCTCACCAGCCACATGGAGTCACCATATTGGACGGAGCAGATAGAGAAGGTTTGCCTCCCACAGAACGTTCTGTGGCCCTGCAGCCTGCACTTGATACGTGGACCTTTTTTTTTTTTCCTGGTGGCCTCTGGAATACACTGTGCTCGCCTAACAAAGGACTGTTCATCAGGCCAGCCTTCCCGGAAACTCTAAGATGAATTTCAGTAAAATGATTCTATTTTTGGAACCTGCCATTCTTAGATCCAGCAGGTGGTGAGGGAGGGTGGGAAGGGGTAGGGGCTACGGGTCTCAAAAGCCCCAACAAGATGTCAAGAGAGCCATCAGGCCCTGAGATTCTGGGCCCCGTAGTCATCTGACAAGTTCATGCCACCAGTTTAAAGATGCGTCACGGCACTCCTCGCCCTCTGTGTGATTTTTCCACAGTGGCAGGGGTCTGTCTCCCAGGCTTGAGTCTCGCGGGCTCCTTCTTCACAGCTCATGCACACAGCCCTGGGAATATAGAGTGGCTAATAGAGCTGAGGTGCAGTTCCAGACTTGGCCAGTAGGAGGCTGTCATGTAACAGTCAATCTACCTACTGTCCTAGGCCAGAAATGAATGGAACGGCTTCCTGTGCACTGGGGGCTTGTTCAGTAATGCTGCTGGCACTAATTTGGGTAGGAACATTATTGACCCTTTACATTATTGAAGCTTTAGGAACATCTTTACGTTCTTGTCCAGGTTGACCCTATAAGGTCGGTTCGACTATTGATCCTATTTCACAAATGAAGAAATGGATTCTTCAAGGATCCTGTGTCTCAGCCCATGTGGTCTTCCTGTCCTCTCCAGAAAGTTCCAGACGTGCCCTCTTCCACGATTCCTCTTGTGGGTCCCAACTCAAGGGCTGCTCATGTCAAGACACAAGCATGTCAAGGGCAACAGCTTTATCTCTTCCCTGCGGTTCTCTCGACACCTCCTGAAGTCAATATTTGCTCAATTAACAAATGTGGGAGCTGGAAAATGCAAACACGGGAGCCTGCTGGGGTTCTGGGCGGGCGTGTGTGGACGCTCCATAGATGGTATCTGTCTGTTGAGGGGAAGTGTGGGTCTTGTAGCCTCCGGGGCGTTGCGGAGGTGGGAAAAGGGACATTTCGTTCTAGGAAACCCCGTCTGACCTCATTTAGTTGGGGGTCACCTGCCCCACAGGCAGAGCCAAAGGTCTGTTCGTGTCATAGAAATCCATTAAGCAGCCACAGAGAATCACGGGAATTTAACCTCTCTCAGCCGTTTGGATCACGCTATCTTTGCTTCGTCTCCTTCCTCCACAATTTGTTCCCAAGAGCTGCTCTGAGCCCGGGTCACCAGGCCACAGGAAAGGGGACCCCGGAGGAGAGGGGAGGGAGGAGACCGCGCAGGGCACCAGCGCCCCCTGCAGTCTGCTCCGCGTCTCGCTCTTCGCAGGTGGAGCTGGGGGACCAGACGACCCCACCCGGCCTGGCGCCTTCCCCGGGGAGCCGCTGGGCGCCTCTGCAGGGAGGGTGGGTGGCCGCTGGGACCATTGGAGCTGGGACAGATGGGCGGCTGGGGGGCAGGGTGGAAAGGCAGCGGTCGCGGGGGTCACTGGCGCTCTGGGGTTGACCCTCCCGGGGACCTAACCGTCTTGAATTTTAGAGGCCTTCTCTGAAATGGGACACGAAGCCACGTGCTTGGTGGCTGAGGGCGGGGTTCACCGTGGCACCTGGCCTAACAGTGGTCACCATGGCCTGTCACCCTTTTTAAAGGGACCAGAGGCCAGTTGCAGAGTGGAGTGGGGGCGTGGGAAGGACCGCAGGGCGCATTCCGCAGCTTCCCTCCAACCTACAGTCCCAGGAGCCGATGGCAGAAGGCACTCCCGGCAGGTCCCCCGCCTGTCCCTTGTGGTCGTGCGGGGATCTCACTGGGTCCCAGCTGGGACCCTCGAGGACCGTGGCTCTCCCGAGGTGGGAG